CCGTACCCACTGTATATATATATATATATATATATATATAAAAAAAAAGTAATTTCATTGACCGTAATACACACAGTACTGATTTACCAAAAAAAAAAAAAAAACAGTTGCACTTGCGCTTCTGTTTCCCACAGTTACATCTGAAGTTAAGAAAGGGGGCACGGGAAAAATATGCCTGTAAGGGAGAGTTATTGTCCTAACAAGGGATTTGATTCAAAAACATTGTTTTTTTTTTCTCACAATCTTTCAGCCGGTCACTGCCTGGCTGCCCAGATGTTGAGGGAATGGAGACAAGAGGAGGAAGCTCATGCTCCCAAACCCTATTTATCTGAGTAAGTGCTCCAACACTCCCCCAAACACACACACACACACACACGTAACAGCAGCCAATATGTGTCCTCTCACTGCTTCTTGAGACACGGGACAAAGCATAACATTTTGTCAACTTTTTATTAATTACTATGTGTCAGTCCTGTCAGATAGAAAAGTGATGTGTACTTACATGTAAAATATTTATTATGAATATTTACAATTGTAGCATGCAATTAAAGTTAAAAACTATAATTAATATATAATTAATTTTGCATTTCACATATGTATTAACTATTAAATGCAGCAGCCATTTTGTTTTTCTGGTGTTTCCAGTTGATAATCAGTCCTACTCTAAATGGGGAAATATGTCTAAAAATCCAGAATAATTTCTTTATATTTTCTGAAATAGAGCTGTTGTGATTGACACAGAAAATATACTTTAAGACCATAACACAGTATTTTATATAGACTAAAATATGTATCAAAATAAAATGATATTTAATAATATATAAATATATAATATGTAAAATTGTTATATATATATATATATATATATTCAAAAAAAAGAAAAGAAACAATATATATTTTATATTATAAAAAATATGTACTTTATTATAGATGTTTAAATCTATGTGAAATATTAAATTGTTGTCTGAGGACAGGTGGTTTTGATAAAATAAATCAATTGCAATGGTCCATTTGTGATAAGAACATTCTAGTGATCATCTCTGGTTCATTTCCACAGAGTGGAAATGTTGCTATTTTAAAAAACTAAATGTTGTGTACAATTATAGGACCAATTTTTCCTATGTCTTAAAGCCACAGCTTCCACAACATGAGAAAAAAATCTGTTATCTCAAACAACTTGTCATTTATACCATTCCCTATCTGCGTGTTTGAGTAACTTGATTATTGCCATGGAAATTCACTCTGACAAATTCCAGGCCCTTGTTTAACAGAAAGGTTTCGGACAAGTCTGAACCAAGTGCCCCGACTGTACTGGTAAACAACTCTGCAGCAGCGGAGTGGCACAGATGAATTTATTAGTCAGCTCGGCCTTTCACATGCAAGTAAGGGATTGTGTGGTGTTGCCATGGTTGCAGTCAAGTGCTTTGTGGAGGCTGTGGGCAGCAGCGGTGGAGTCAGAGGTCAAAGTGCAACTCCTCACCCTGAGAGTGTTTTGTTTATGTGTGCAGACAAAGCTGGCTGGTTGTCTGCGCTATCCTGGCAACGTCGCTGCTGGCCAGCCTCGCTGGTAACTTTATCCAGACGTGTAGAAAATCCAAAGCGCGCGGGCAGAGGGCGGACTACTCCTACTTGCCGCTGGGAGAGATCAACGGGTCCGTGGAGCGAAGCAGAAGACAGGGGACAAAGTCTGGGAAAGTTCTTTTTCAGGAAGAAGACTCTGACACACAAGACTCCTCATAATGTGACCATGTTTCAAAATGTATGCATCCGGCAGAGAGTGGAGAGAAACTAGCTAGCTGACTAGCCAGCTAGATTTGGAAAGGGTTTGTTTGTTCCTGTGAATCGATGAGGGCCTCTTCGTCTTTTTTTTTT